AAATTACCCTTTCAAAGTAAAAAGATCTACAGCTCCTAAGCACGTATTTTCAGAAGTAAATCCCATGGAGTCCCACTGGGACTTATTCCCCAGGCAATACTTAGGAACGCAGCCCTAGTGAGGTTAAGAACAAGAGAATTTTGGATGTAAGTTGTCATTAATCCATAATTACACTGGGTTATGTTCAAGACTTTGTAAGTTATTAGAACAGCACAGATAACTGTGATGTTCCACCAGGACTGAAAGAGAAACTAGACAGAAGTTCAACAATGTCACTGAGGATTTTTGGTTTAAGAGGATCTGGAACAGTTTGCTTCTGGTAAAACTAACACCCATGTTTAGGGAGAGCTGGGCGGGGGGGAAGTGTTTTGAGGGGGTTGCGACAATGGAGAACCGTGGTTTATTACTGGAACAAGATATCTGGGTAAAGACTAATTGTTATTGCATTAATTTACAAACAGTATGTTCACACACACATTCTATCCTTCTTTCCTCCATGGATTCCAGTCTAACTGGAGTTCTGTAAGCAGAAGTGGCTGAGAGGAGTGGAGCTGGCACACAGGTTCATATGGAGGGTTGCCCTGACCTGGACAGCCCAAACTAGGACTCTCTTATCAGATCTCAGAAGCCAAGCAGGGTCACCCCTGGTTAGTGCTTGGATGGGAGACCACCAAGGAGGTCCAGGGTCACGATGCAGAGGCAGGCAAATGGGAAACCACCTCTGAACGTCTCTTGCCTTGAAAACCCCATGGAGTCACCATAAGTCAGCTGTGACTTGATGGCAAAGAATAAAAAAAAATTGTTTGGTGCATGAGCCACGGTTACCCCTGCCACGATCCAGGCTGTGGTACATCCTTGAAGACAATCTGGAAACTGTAGAGAATGTAGCAGCCTGATTATTATCAGAGGCTAGATAATGGGACCCCAGCCCTGCATGGCCCAGGCTAGCCTGATCTTCTTGGAAGCTAAGCCCTGGTCAGTACTTGGCTGGGAGACCACCAAGGAAGTCCAGGGTCACTATGCAGAGGCCGGTGACGGCAAGCCACCTCTGAACATCTCTTGCCTTGCATTAGTCAGAACTCCAGTGACAGCATATATAGGGCTAGTAAAGGTAAAGGTTTCCCTTGCTCGAAAGCCAGTCGAATCCGACTCTAGAGTTGCGGTGCTCATCTCCGTTTCAAAGCCGAAGAGCCAGCGCTATCCGAAGACGTTTCCGTGGTCATGTGGCCGGCATGACTAAACACCAAGGCGCACGGAATCCTGTTACCTCCCCACCGAAGTGGTATCTATTTATCTACTTGCAATTTCTTGCTTTCAAACTGCTAGGTTGGCAGGAGCTGGGGCCAGAGACGGGAGCTCACTCCGTCATGCGGAACACTCGGGTCTCGAACTGCTGAACTACTGACCTTCCACAGCCTGCAGTTCAGCGTCTTAACCACTTGAGCCACCCTCCATATGAACCTGTGTGCCAGTCCCACTCCTCTCAGCCACTTCTGCTTACAGAACTCCAGTTAGACTGGAGTCCATAGAGGAAAGAAGGATAGAATCCAATCGGTAGCTTTCTATGTTGTTGTTCTGCAACCTGTAACCAACACTCGAGACACGTTCGCCTGCCTCAGAGTTCAAGACCAATTCCAACAGGGTTGTCGACATCCTCATCCACTCCAGCCATCACAGCCATGTGAAGCAGCATCGTTTTGATGCAAGATCTGGCAGGATGCCAAAATACTGTCCAACCTCTGGATCAGGTTGCAAAGCAAGTTGGTTTTTGCTCTCCCCAAGATGAAAACTCCTAGAAAGGAACTTGTCTGTTGTTCCAGAGGAAGACTTTCCTTTGCAATCAGTCTTCTACCCGGCTTTTAATGTTCGCCCTGTAATAGCTCTGCTGACATTTTCCACCCAGAGATCTCAGGAAGCAGGTTTTTTAGATATCCTCTCTCACTTATCTCTGACACAGAGGGATGTGCTATCACCATCTTAAGAGTAACCCAGTTATTTAATAGCTTTTGATCTTATATAAAGTACTACTTCAGGCTCCCTTCCCCCCTTAGCTCCCCTCCCCTTTACAAATTACAAGGGGTCTCTGATTCCAGGATAAGCATTATCTCTCAGGCCAGCTTCCCTTCAAAGAAAGGAAATAAGCATTCTTCTTTTAATCTGCACGCTGGGCACAGAAATATCTGGCTGCAGCCCTTGCTGAGATATAATGAAAGACACAAAAACAGATTAGATCAGATTGTACTGGGCCACCTTCTCGTTTCATTGTTACGCATCCATGCTACTAAATGGTTTGGTGTAATTCCCGGCTTATCAACAGAAATCGTTCCCATAAAATATAATTACGGTGTTTCTGAGGTCAACAATGTATCAAGAGACCAGCAACATACCAAGCTAGAAGTAAATACTAGGACGGAAAACCTATGCTAGTAAGGTAGCACCAGGGTAAGGCCTCAGCCTCTAAATCTTCTTGCTTGGCCCTCCAAGATAACTGGCTTGGACCACTGGTCTGATCCCACAGGGCTCTTCTTAAATTCTTGTATTATGTTCGTCTGATAAGCAGTAAATCTAATGACAGACACGGGTGATTCACCTCCCCCTTTGACCCATGTATAGTCTAAGCCAGGGGTCTCCAACATTGTGCCCAAGGGCACCGTGGTGCCTGCCAGGACCTTTCCTGGCACCCGCCAAGAGTTTTTAGAAAGTGGGCAGGGCAAATTAAAAGGCATCCTGTTAGACAGAGCTTCTGCCTTAAATTTTGAAGAATTACTATAACAGTTATACATGACCTTGCTTCCTGATATTCTGTGGTTGGCTCTGCCTCCTGCAACAGCCATTTTTAGTAGCGTCCACCATCTTCTGTCAGAATTCCAAAGGTGCCCACAGGTTCAAAAAGGTTGGGGACTCCTGGTTTAAGTCACAAGCCCAGAGGGTTCAATTATGGCACCTTTCTCAGTTCTCCAAACTTCAGGGTTCTCCAAAGTTCAGGGTTGCTGTAGTTGACTGCTGTACGTTCCTAGTTTACACTGTACTGCAAACACTACCCAGAAGAAGGATGGACACAGTGACACTAGCAGGTACAAGACTATTTACTGACAAATGGGTTACCAGACTTCCCAAAAAGTTTCAAACACCATACTTCAAACCAGCACTACAATCCCTTCATTCAGCCTTTAAAACATGATGAGAGTAAAACCTGGAGATAGTAGATTTTTATGACTCATTTACTGTTTAAATGCTGAACAAAGCAATCTATTTGGTACCATCTTTGCTTGACAGTGAATTAGACTGACCTGCTGATTTCAACTGTTTTAACGCCAAGGGGATGTTAAATATTCCTCCATTTTGGAAGAAGACTGGAGTTCAAAACATACCTTCTTATACCTGTTGGTTCAAGGTCTCTCTTCTCACAAAATGCACACAGTTTAGGAGCTCAACTGGCACAGTTTGGCCTGAGCTTATCAAGGCTTGGCAGCTTGTAATGTAATTTGGAATGGCAGACTGAAATGCGTTTGACTGGTCTGGTGACCGAGGGGAGACATAACACTGCACAACCAATCACCCCACCTTAAAGAAAAGGATGCTGTGAGCTACCTCCATGTTTGCGAGGAGACAGACAGAACGTACTAGCGGGGTCCCAGTTAATTACTCTCAGAATTCCACAAATAAGAAGAGTACGTTTACACATCTACAATTTTATTTATCTGCTTCACTATGTCCCCCCCCCAAATTAAATCCAAACAAAAGAAGAGTATGTTTACACATCTACAATTTTATTTATCTACTTCACTATGTCCCCCCCCCCGAATTAAATCCAAACAAATGGTGACCATATAAACTAAGCTTGTTATTCCTGTTTGGTCCTTGTATCTGTTAAACACAGGGCTTTTTTGGGGGGGGGAGCGTGCCGTAAGAGATTTCCAGAACCTCTCTGACAAAATTCTTTCAAAAATGTTTAAAAGTTCACGAGTTTTCAGTAGATGGATTGAAAACTTCATTTCCCTCTTGAGCGTTCAGGCACCTCTTTTTCAACAAGAACAACAAAAGGCCCTGGTTAAGCATCTCCATTATGCTGAATGCTAATTTACTGCTCACCCTCTACCTATTTGTATGGACTGGTAACTTCCACTTCTATGTATCGGATGAAGTGTGCGTGCAGACAAAAGCTTATGTCTTGAATAAAACTTTGTTGGTCTTAAAGGTGCCACTGAACTCGAATTTTGTTCTGTTCCTCCCATTCAGTCACCAGCCACTAGGGCTTTTCAGGCACAAAAGACCTCGTTTCCTGCGTCAGAACTCCATGTGGCGTCTATAGGGGTCTCTAAAGGTATCTGTGGCATATGAGCGGGGGCCCGAAGGCCTATGTTATACTAAATGTGCAACGGAGTCACAGCCTGTGCACTTGGATCCTACACTCCCATATCCATGTTGGGCATTCTGGGATAGTGTCTACCCGGTGAAACACTGTGAAAGTGCCTCTTGACCACGTGCAGAGCGGTTTCTCCCGGTCCCACTGAATCACCGCGAGCAACGCCCGGCAGCCAATGGGATAGTGTCTACCCGGTGAGACACTGTGAAAGTGCCTCTTGACCTCGTGCAGAGCGGTTTCTCCCGGTCCCATTGAATCACCGCGAGCAACGCCCGGCAGCCACGCACTCCACAAATCTGGCATTCAGTGGATTTCAAATCCCACCCGAGGCGGCCTGGTTTCTAGGCCGGCGTGAGCCCTCCGAGCGGCGCTTCAGTACAGCACGTGGGAGACGGCTCTCCCCGCTACCGGCGCGCACGGCTTAAAAAAGGGAAACCGCCCGAAACCCAGGGCTCGATCCTCCGCGCGCTGCTCCGCTGCGGGCTTCCTACTCTCTCCTACCCAGCCGAGCCGTCTTCCATCCAGGTGCACCTAAGGCGGGCAGGCAGCAGCAGTTCCTCTCCGGGCAAAGGAAGGCAACTTGCCCCTGCCTGCCTGCCTGCCTCCCGCCCGCCCGCCCGCTCTTTGCACTCACCAGGTGCAGAGTTTGTCCCGGGCGCGGCTCAAGAGGCTGGCGAAGCAGGTCTGGCGGGGCGCCGCTGTCGCCGCCCCCGGAGGGCTGGGGTTCTCGGTGGTGGTGGTGGCGGCGGCCGAGGACGGTCCTTCCATCGCGAACAATGAGAGCCCCTCTAGAGGGAGAGAGGAGCGGCTGCGGAGGGAAGCTGCCGGAGGGCGGGGGAGGGGACATCGAGGCGGGGGAAGAGGAGGAGGAGGAGCCGCTGTCTTGGACTTCTGGGCTAGGGCCGTGGGCAATGTTCCTTCTAAGCTGTGGAGTCCTGTGAGCAGAAATTCTACTTTGTGAGCTACTGGCATTAAAGTTGTGAGCAGGTAGTTTGGCTGCTGCATAAAATTCGTTTGCTCTGGAGCCATCTTTCCTGAGCTAAGACAACAATGTGTGAGCTGGAGGCTAAAAAACTGTGAGCTAGCTCGCACTAACTCAGCTTAGAGGGAACACTGGCCGTGGGATGTCGCTGCTGGGCTTCTGCCATCAGCCATTTACCGGGCGAACTAGTTACGCGCAGACCACCGACCGCGATTCGCTGCAGCCGGGAGGGAAAGCTGCGACCGGTTGGGTACCTTGGTGGGTGGTGGGCATCTGCTGCTGCTGCTGCTGCTGCTGCTAGGAACGGGGGGACGGGCGCCGGGCTTATCACGGCAGGGCCCCTGAAGTATTTTTAAGGGGAAGCTCGAGACCAGCATGAGTTTTGTCCTCCTTTTACAGGTGTTAATAGGCTAAATCAGTCTTGTAAGTCAAGGGCGTTAAAAGAAGTTTCTCACTTGCATGCAGGTGATGAAGAACAGGAACAGAACGCAGAGGGTAGCCAGGTCTGGGCTGGGAAATACGGGGGGTGGAGTTTGGGAATGGCTGGGTGAGGGGTGGGGAGGGACTTTAGTAAATTAGGATGCCACATAGACTCCACCCTCCAAAGCAGCCATTTTCTCCAGGGGAACTGATCTTGCTGGTCTGTGTTACCAAACCTCTTACCTAAGGACGGTTCTGGGAGCCCAATTCTGAATTATCTAGGACAGTGGGCGGGTTGTGAGTTCTTGCCCAATGTATACAGAGGTCAGATTGGCCAACGAAACGCTCCTAATTCCCAGAAATTGAGACAACACGCTAGGTTTATGAATAGATGTTGCCTTTTACTAAACAGTTCTCAAGCATACGAAAACAGATACATACACAGATTCTCGCAAGATCCTTAGTTACAATAGTTCATAGAAAGCAATCAGCAAGGAAAATAACAAAAGCAACAGACAAGGGGGATAATACAACAGGATATCGCTTATACTTATCTGGGGTTCCAGCTGAGAAGAAATCTCCTCTTAGAAGAATGGGGCAGCTTAGGGCTAGCAGGTGAACTCTAAAAACACACGAGCTGGACCGGCCAAGCGTGTGGGTTCCTGGGTCACGACTCCCGGGAACACAGTAAGACTCACCTGCAGCACTTAAGTTGCAACAGCTGCGTTTCTCTTTTTAAAAGCTACGTTTTTGGGCTTGGCTTATGGCCATAAACCCTTGGGGTCCGTCCTCTATGCTAAGGCTATAGGGCAAAGAGTTGTGACGTCCTAATGAGGGGAAGGGGGCAATATGCAGATATGCTACCTTAACTTCAAAGGGGGCCATGTGGTCAGGTGTGAAACTGTCATTTCCACTGGCAACCTTTGACTTGCAGAAGAAGCTCCTGGTCCATAGGCAATTAAGGAAGTTTTCTTTGTGATTCCAAACCAGATACCAGGGAGAATTGCGTGCTTTCCCACAGTTCAGCAATGGTGGGAAAGTCTGTTGTTTCTCCAAGTCTCTCATTGTGCATAATGGCGCTGGTCTCCTTTGTCCAGAGGCACTCTGGGAAATTCCAGGGAGGCATGTGTCTTGTGGCAGGCAGCTCAAGCCATGCCCATCCATAGGCAGCATGAGGTGCAAGGCCAGCCATTCAAACACACAGCATCAAACACGCACAGCAGTGATCCCTGAGTCCCAAATGCACAGATACACAGACATTTGACCAATACAGCATAAGCACAGTACAGACAAAATGCAATTGCAAACACACATGGTAACATCTGGAGATGAGTTGTAATCGTGGGATACTTCCAGGTGCCAGTGAGGGTGAAAACAATAACCACATATAGCTAAACATGCAGTGCTAATATAAAAATATACAATATATTTTAAATTATGCATAGGAAATATTAAATATATTATTAATATATTAAATATTAAGACCCTGAATTGCAGACCGGAAGGTTGGTAGCTCAGCAGTTCGAGACCCAAGTGCCGCATGATGGAGTGAGCTCCTGTCTTGGGCCCCAGCTCCTGCCAACCTAGCAGTTTGAAAGCAAGAAATTCCAAGTAGATAAATAGGTACCGCTTCCGTGGGAAGGTAGCAGTGTTCCATGCACCTTGGCATCTAGTCATGCCAGCCACATGACCATGGAAACATCTTCGGACAGCGCTGGCTCTTCGGCCTGGAAACGGAGATGAGCACCGCATCCCTGGAGTCGGATTCGACTGGCTTTCGAGCATGGGAAACCTTTACCTATATTTTTATATTAGCACTGTGTGTTTAGCAGTGTTTGATTATTGCTTTCGCTTTACCCTTTTTGGTTACCTTTTGTGTATTGGGTTGGTTCCCCCCCCCTTTGGTCTTGGTTCCCCCTCAGGTGCTACCTGGATGTTGGCAACCCTAAATGCATCTGATGACGGGGGCTCTGAATCCGCCAGAGGCTTACGCTGGAATAAATTTTGCTAGTCCAGTTTGGGTTCCAGTTTTATTTTGCCGCTACAGATCTACAGGGTGACCCCTTTGGCTGCATCCACACAGTATTGGATGTTGCGCTGTCATTCACAACAATGAGATTTTCCTGTGTGGACAAGACTAGCCAGAAGGTGATTGCTACAGTGAGACGATAGCTCAGTATCGAAGGATGTGTGGACGCAGTTTTTTCTGCCATCACTTCATGCCACGGAACATAATCCAACAGCTCCTGTGGACCAGAATCTTTAATTGCAATTGTTTAGTACCACTTGGGTTGCTTGTGTAGTGGGTTAGTCCTTCTACTCTAGCATTCTGTCCATCCATCCTTCTCTCTGCTATTCTGCATTGTGATTAATATAGATTTGGCTCCTGCTCATCACATGACCTTTCCATTCTGGCCTACGAGAAAGACCCAGAGGGCGGCAATAGGGAGACTGTTTTTCGTCTCCTTGCCTGCAGGGTGCATTTCATATCCCCACTCTGCCCATGGGCGCTTGCTGGGTGACCTGGGGCCAGTCATACGCACTTAGCCTAACCTACCTCACACGGTTGTTGTGATGCTAAAATAGAGGTGTGGAGAATGAAGTAAGCCACTTTGGGGGCCCCACTGGGGGGAAAAGGAGGGTATAATGTAAGTAAGCAAATAAATGCCGTTTTTAAAAGTTCTGCCTTGCTTCTTTCCCAGATAGTCCAAAACAGCTTATGAAAGACTGGATTTTTAAAAAAGATAACAGAAACAGAACTGGTTGTTTTTAAAACACGTCCAGTGTGCCTAAGCACAAAATTAGGAATGGTTTTCAGTTGAACGTCCTCCCCCCAAAAAAGTTGTACGTGCTTCATTGAATGATAGGAGGAAAAGCTCAAACAGGTTTCTCCCATAAGGCTGTTCCTGAATGTAGGGTCCATCCCTTGCCAATGCTAAGCTCATTTGGCAGATGGGCAGAATCACTAAGAGAGATTGGCTGGGCTGATCCAAGTTGTCAAGTGGTATGTTCCATATTGGTTCCTGTTCTGCTGATGTGAAGCTCTTAGGCAAGATTGTGCAGTGGAGTTAGCAGAACCGACGGTGCTCTTGTCTTTGACTAGCAGATTAATGGGAGGGCATGGTGCTGTGTGTGGGTTTGTGCTGTCCAGTCACAACTACTTATTGGAGACCCCGTAGGGTTTTCAAGGCAAGAGATCTTCAGAGGTGGTTTCCATTGCCTACCTCCACATCACAACCCTGGTATTCCTTGGAGGTCTCCCATACCAAATACTGTCCAGGGCTGACCCTTATTAGCTTCCGAGATTTGATGAGACTGGCCAGCCTGGGCTTTCCAGGAGTATCTTATCCCGCTCTGAGTTCCTTGGAGCCAGCCTGGGATAAAAATGCACCAAAGAAGATTATGCACTGTAGGGACATAGTTGAGAAAAAACCCATGAGTAATTTTCATGGCTGACTCACACACCCTGAGTCACATTAATTCACTCAGTTTGCATTAGGGTTTTTTCCCTTTAAAAACTGGGCAACACAATACAAATCTCATGTATGCAAACCCAGAGAGGAAATGATTCTGGCACCCAAAGGAGATGAATACACACGTAAGACGTAGTCGAGCCTCCCAAGGAGCCCAGACTTGGCAAGTCTTCAAGGGAGACGCAGTCATTTCCCCGTGCTTGAATCCGGATGCCTCCCTTCCTTTGGAATGAATGGCAGCTAGTAGTTTTTATTTTCAGAACCAGGATCAAAAAATAAATAGCGTGGTAATGTGAACATGCCCCTGCGGAAAGCCTTCCTCTAATGCACAAGACAACCTTGATTTCCTAATTCCTACGTAGGCCTTGACAATACAACATCTTTCATTGTTACAGAAGGCCTTTAGTACCCCCTGTTGGTTTATTTCTCTTAATTGTTGCAGCTTTTCCTCTTTAATTCTTTTTCCTAATAACACAGGTAAACATTAAGCACTGGAGACTGTATTTCCCCCCATAAAATGATGCCGTGGCATTTATTAGCATTCAGTGTAGGATGGCAGCACTTCGAAGGGACCCTTCATTTGAAAGGGGCGTGCCCTGATTGCCTCTCTCCCCCCCCCAGTGGAGACACCGGCCATCTGTCATTCCTCGTTTGCAGAGCCAATCAGTGAGCTGGTCATGGGGGGGGGTTGTAATTTGGCCTGGGCCTCAAGCTCAAATGGAGCCTTCCATTTTGACACTTGTTAAATTTTGTTGGCATCTGGTAGGTTTTGCAACTTGTTTTGGTGTGCGTCATTTTTCATTATTATTCTTTGTGGTGGCTGGGGGGCTCGAAGCCCTGACCTGGATGGCCCAGGCTAGCCTGATCTTCCCACATCTCAGCAGCTAAACCAGGTTGGCCCTGCTAAGTCCTTGGATGGGAGACCACCAGGG